GCACCCGCGCTATATTCGTGGCACTACCATAGCCGGTGCCCACAGCGCACCCAATGATACAGCCCGTCTTGAGGTCGGCCGAAGGGTTCACCTGAAACGCAACGAGTGGTCAGACGATGGCAGAAGGCGTGGTCTTTCAGGACTCATACTTTGGCGACTTGTGATTGGCGGACGACGGCGTACTCGGAGAAAGTGGACGTTCCGGCTGTTGGGCGCGAAACTCAAATTCAAACTCTGTTTTCGAGCCGCGAATACGAACCCAAAGAGAGTAACGGTTTTCCGTTGACTTTCATTCGCGTCTCGCGGTTGTCGTGATATAGCGATGTGTAGAAATTGGTATCAAAGCAGAAGTTGGTCTTCGGATTGCGGCAAAGGTCGCAAACACCGCACTCAGGCATCCACAGCAACACCACTTTGTCACCCGCAGACACCGCCGTCACGCCCGCGCCCACCGACTCCACCACTCCGGCGCCCTCGTGACCCAACACCACCGGCAGGCCCTCGAAGTCGAGCGCCAGGTCTGTGGGCAAGCCCCACACGAAGTGGGCGTCCGTCGCGCAAACGCCAGCCGCCACCATTCGGACGCGGACTTCGCCCTAAACACCAAAAGTGTCCACAAATAGAACCGTTTGTAAGAGAAATGAGAACTAATTGTGGGTTTTGTGCGTTCCTTCACCTTCTTCGGCGGATCCACGGTTATCGTCTCCACCGTCAACGGAGAGCCCTCTTTCCATAGGACGGCCGCTCGACAGGTAATTGTCTGTGAGGACAGGTATTATAGAAACAGACAGACAGTAGAAATAGAGACTAGAGAATACCTTTCCTTCGGTAGACATTTTGCGAGAATATAACTGAAAAACTGTTAAACAAATGATTTGTTTTTATAGATTTTGGCTAATCGTTGTCATAAGAGGTTGTATTCTTATCTGAAAATCATTTCACTATTTCTGAAGAGTTAGTTACTATTTATCGCAGATTTGAAGATAGTTTGCTCTCACAATACATAAGGTATTATCGGTACTTATTTTATTAAAAAATCTTGTTTCCCAACACTTTCTCTAATTGTCTCCAATTATTATGCAGATGTCTGAAGGTTTTGATTGATGTTACAGACGACTTGTGGTCATTTCTAAAGAGAACTGTAAATCACTCCAATCTGAATACATTTCCTTTTCAGACCCTCTTTTAAGCCAATATTTTGTCCCATATTTGGCTCAAACATTAATTTGAAAAACAAATGAAACATCAATCAAAGGAAATCTGTTATCTTTCACTTAATATTATCATAATTCAATGTATTGTAAATCAAATCCAAAAAGCAATTACAGTAAATGCTTATTAGTTGAAAGCAACAGCACTTAAAGAGCACTTAAAGAGCACTCATCAGTACGACCAAAGGGTATGTCTTAAGGCTTATGTATAAAATGTACTCATTTTTATTGAAATCTAAACTCAATTCAACATAAAACACCTAAAAATCAGTTAAAACTTGTTCTCCAGGAATCACTTCTTCATTGCCTTTTCGGCCCCTTCTTTTCCCACATATCCGAAGGCCAGACCTGTTGTTTCGGAGGTCTTTGTTGTTGTTGTTGTTGTTGTTGTTGTTTGGCCGGTCGGACGGGTTTTTCCTCATTGTACGGACGGTTCGGTCGCGACTCTCCGTTCGGCCGATTCTGTGACCAAACCGGCGGTCGTTCTTCCGGAGCACTGTTTGAGTGTTGAGTGAGTGGCCACTGAGTGTCATGCCATCCCTCTTCTTGCGACGGACTCTCTGACCACTGACTTTGCGACCATTGGTCGGCATTCCAGTGCTGAGGCTGTGGTTTCGTGTTTTGCGGTTTAGACGGTTGCTGCCAATTGGGAGC